TTTGAACCCCCCCCCCCCACCTCCTACGCATTCCACAAGTAGTGTCTAATCCCATATCTGCATTTGCCATAAATATGCTAAATTCCTCTTGATATGCAAATTCCTTTGTCAAGGCACCCGTTCCCCCTCCAACCCAGCTTAAATATACGCTGCTAAGCCTGGTGGTGCCCATTCAGACGCTGTCTTTCCGACAGACCTGTTCTTCACCTGAGGACGGCTGCTTGCGTTGTGGCCGAAACGTCGTGAGAATTATTATTTTATTATTTCTCTACGTGACTTTACCTAAAGAACCAAGAAAATGCATATATTATCACAGTATGTTTTTGTTTGCATTCTGACCACAAGCATTGTGGTTAATGCACACATATTCCTTGTTAAAGGTTTCAGTTTGGTGTTTTAACAACTTAACACCTGCTTTGTTGCCAGAAAAAAGGGGAAAACCTATGATCATATTTTGTTACTGGCAAAGGAGGTCCCATGAGTCAAATTCATATCAATTAATTCAAAAGTTCAGTTGCCGCAAAAGTCGTTTGGGTCCCTTTCGACCTCAGTTATTCTGCTCAATAAGTTTCAACTGACAGCACTTTAAGATACCTGTCAACCCATACGGTTTACCCATATTCTTGTGCAGGGAAATTGAGTAAAAATATAATTACATTTATATTTGTTTGTGTTTCTTCCCTTGTGATGGGACTTTGTAGGGTGAATGTTGAGATATATAACGGCATGGGGTGACCAATAAGGTCTTAATTGGTCTGTAATAAGGTAGGCACTGATAAGGGGTTGACAGGTATGCTTTAATCCCATATATACAGTAGATAGATAAATCGAACCATAAGTTTGGAAAGAGATATAGTCATCGCGTGTATGTTATATTACGTATCTGGCCATGCACATACAACAATCATCTTCACTAGAACCGGCTCCCGCTCCTCTCGAGCCCAGCATCATCATCCTGCTGCTACTGCTACTGCCTGAACCTAATCCCAAGCCAGGCCTACCGTTACTCCTACCCATACTCCTGTAGTGAGTCCAACGGAGTCGCAGACGTTATTCTTAGAGGCAACACATTTATTATATCAACACGTAATCACCAAAGGGGTAACTGCCCCTTTACCAGATACAGCCTAGAGTGGTGACCACCCAGATAACTACACTATACGGAGGAGTTACAGCTACGAAGGGTCAGACCCTCACTTGGGTCCCGACCACGTGTTGATGCCTTGTAGAATGTAGAGCTTCCAGCTTGTAGGACGTGGGGCTTCCAGCCTGCAGAATGAAGCGACCCTGGTCCGTCCCAGAGACCCACCTTATATGCTCCCGAGTCAGGGCTGGCTCGGCCCAGGCCCCGCCCGCCTTCTCGAGCGTTCTAGCCTTCTCGAGCATTCTAGCTCCCTCTCGATCCCTCTCGAGAATTCTCCCCGGACACGTGATCATCCCCTAGCCCCCCCACCTGGGGCCCAATGTGGACACTCCGGATCACGTGTCTACAGGGTCAACTAGAGTGCCATGGCCCGGGGCAACCCTATCCCTGGGCTGACACTCTCCCGCTCCCCCTTGTGGGAGCCCGTACTACACGCTATGCGCGGTGCTCGCGCTATCCCAGCGCTCACCAAGCCCTGCTAGGGCTGTTACTACACCCATCTATGGGGTGTACGCGATGACGGTGCATCGCACGCCGTGCTATAGTAAAGCCGGCATCACACAGCAACCCACTCAGTGCTGTCCGCAACGTAGGAACATCGCACGCCACGACCCTCCCAGGCCGACACCATACAGTGACATCCCCGATGTCACTACCCCTATCAATCACTACCCCTATCACTACCCCAATCACTACTCCTAACACTATCACTACCCCACCCTTATCACTACCCCAACCCCTATCACTAACCCTATCACTACTCCAACCCTGATAACTACCCCAATCCATATAACTACACCTATTACTACCCCTATCACTACCCCTACCCCAAACACTATCCCTATAACTACCCCTATAACTTTCCCAACCCCTATCACTACCCCTATCATGATCACTACCCCTATAACTATCCCAACCCCTATCACTACCTCCATCACTACCCCTATCACTACCCCTATCACCATCCCAACCCCTATAACTACCCCTACTCCTACCCCGCACCCCTCCTTAATCTGTCCTGCCTGTTTTCATGTCTCCATAACTACACCACCACTTTTAAGAACCCCACTACTTTTTAACATATCAACCACTATCATCTTTTTCATAATTGTTGTAAAAAGTGCTTTGAAATAAGGCACAGCTATATATATGTAGTGACGTAATGCGCGGTGTTAGCAAAGAGAAGATGCAACTGAGGTCGTGCAGAGGTAAGCGGGGAGAAGCAGTGATTGAGCGGGTGTATTTGGGCACAAACAGGTGCAAGCGTCGAGACATGGCTCAGGCGCCGGAGAGGCGGCAGCAATTAGGGGGAGAAGCATTAATTGAGCAGGTGCATTTGGGGATGGGCAGGTGCGAGCGTTGGAACACGGGGTAGACGATGGAGAGGTGGGAGATGGAGGCGATATGAGAGAGAGCACGTGCTAGAGGCGCCGTAGAAGCGCCAACTTAATGGGGGGTAATTGAGGACCCATAATGAGGAGGGATACAGTGAGGGAAAAAAGTATTTGATCCCCTGCTGATTTTGTACGTTTGCACACTGACAAAGAAATGATCAGTCTATAATTTTAATTGTAGGTGTATTTGAACAGTGAGAGACAGAATAACAACAAAATCCAGAAAAACGCATGTCAAAAATGTTATAAGTTGATTTGCATTTAAATGAGGGAAATAAGTATTTGACCCCTCTGCAAAAGATGACTTAGTACTTGGCGGCAAAACCCTTGTTGGTAATCACAGAGGTCAGACGTTTCTTGTAGTTGGCCACCAGGTTTGCACACATCTCAAGAGGGATTTTGTCCCACTCCTCTTTGCAGATCTTCTCCAAGTCATTAAGGTTTCGAGGGTGACGTTTGGCAACTCGAACCTTCAGCTCCCTCCACAGATGTTCTATGGGATTAAGGTCTGGAAACTGGCTAGGCCACTCCAGGACCTTAATGTGCTTCTTCTTGGGCCACTCCTTTGTTGCCTTGGCCGTGTGTTTTGGGTCATTGTCATGCTGGAATACCCATCCACGACCCATTTTCAATGCCCTGGCTGAGGAGAAGGAGGTTCTCACCCAAGATTTGACGGTACATGGCCCCGTCCATTGTCCCTTTGATGCGGTGAAGTTGTCCTGTCCCCTTAGCAGAAAAACACCCCCAAAGCATAATGTTTCCACCTCCATGTTTGACGGTGGGGATGTTGTTCTTGGGGTCATAGGCAGCATTCCTCCTCCTCCAAACACGGCAAGTTGAGTTGATGACAAAGAGCTCCATTTTGGTCTCATCTGACCACAACACTTTCACCCAGTTGTCCTCTGAATCATTCAGATGTTCATTGGCAAACTTCAGACAGGCATGTATATGTGCTTTCTTGAGCAGGAGGACCTTGCGGGCACTGCAGGATTTCAGTCCTTCACGGCGTAGTGTGTTACCAACTGTTTTCTTGGTGACTATGGTCCCAGCTGCCTGGAGATCATTGAAAAGATCCTCCCGTGTAGTTCTGGGCTGATTCCTCACCGTTCTCATGACCATTGCATCTCCACAAGGTGAGATCTTGCATGGAGCCCCAGGCCGAGGGAGATTGACAGTTCTTTTGTGTTTCTTCCATTTGAAAATAATCGCACCAACTGTTGTCACCTTCTCACCAAGCTGCTTGGCGATGGTCTTGTAGCCCATTCTAGCCTTGTGTAGGTCTACAATCTTGTCCCTGACATCCTTGGAGAGCTCTTTGGTCTTGGCCATGGTGGAGAGTTTGGAATCTGATTGATTGATTACTTCTGTGAACAGGTGTCTTTTATACAGGTAACAAGCTGAGATTAGGAGCACTCCCTTTAAGAGTGTGCTCCTAATCTCAGCAAGTTACCTGTATAAAAGACACTTGGGAGCCAGAAATCATTCTGATTGAGAGGGGGTCAAATACTTATTTCCATCATTAAAATGCAAATCAATTTATAACATTTTTGACATGCGTTTTTCTGGATTTTTTTGTTGTTATTCTGTCTCTCACTGTTCAAATAAACCTACCATTAAAATTATAGACTGATCATTTCCTTGTAAGTGGGCAAACGTACAAAATCAGCAGGGAATCAAATACTTTTTTCCTTCGCTGTATATAAGGGAGTGTGCGGAGCAACACGGGGTGGTTGTTGGTTGGAGCTCAAGAGATGAAGAACACAAGAGTCGGGGAGAAGACGCCTGGAACTTCACCCTCCTCACCTCGTCCTCTCCAGCAGTGTTGGCTGATCCCCTGCTCGGGGCAAGGACGAGCGTGGAGGTGTGAGGAAAGCAGGACAGGTTAGCGGAATATAGAGTGAGGGAGTTAGCGGAGTATAGAGTGAGAGAGATAGCGAAGCGGGGAGTTCGGAACAAGGGTGTGTGTATGTTAGTGTAAGTGAGGAGCATCCACACTGGATGCAAGGTAAATAAAGTGATACAGGAGAAAAGCTCAGAGTGTCCGTGTGAGTATTTCACTACATATATAAAAACTAACTTTTTTGCCAGGTAAGGGCCACTGAGCTGTATAGCTCTTTTTGAGAAGCAACCTGGGCACAAATGATAGCCCAATGCAAGTGGCTTATCATGTAGTTATGTATAGCAGCCAAATACTATAAACGCGTGATGTTGATTATAAATGTGGAGGGAAAAACTGGAGAATCCGGAGAAAATCCAAGTGACCAGGGGGATAGAGACACACGCAAACTCCAAACGTACAGCAGGCATCAGGGTCGGGATTGAACCCACAACCTCCTGCATACCAGCCCAGGTATTTAACATCTCCGAGCCACCGTGACACCCGAAATCTGTATACGATAGAAGCTAAGGCAACGGCTAAGGGAAGCGCCCCGACGGTGTGCTGCGGTGACTCATGACCGCACCGCGGTGAGGCCTGGGATGATCTGTGAGAACCTCTTCGTGGGCAGCAGCCGTTGGCCCCCCATGGATATCTCAGCCAGGACGCAGCCCACGGACCAAGCATCGATGGGCGTGCCGTATGGCAGGCCCAGCATGGCCTCGGGTGCCTTGTAAGCTGCAGTCCCCATCACCTTGTCCACTGTAGAAACAAGATGACAAAGAGACGACGTCAATGATGATGTTGTTGTTGCAGCATTGGCGGACTGATGGAGTTTGTCCATAATAGAGTTTTTTTATATTAGATCGCATGAATATAAATGTGTTGTGAAACCCGCCACCACCCAACACATTTGCAATTTAAACTTTTTCTACTGAGCATCACGGAATAATGGTGGTTGCTTAAGCCTCCATTTAAAATGAACATGAGTGGAGGAATGCAGACAAGGCCAAAGAGTCAGATGTCTTCTAAAACCTCCTGTCCCAGGTGCTAGCTAAAGTAGCCCCTCGGGATAGAGTCATCTTGTTGGGTGACTTTAATGCCCGGGTGAGTCATGATGCAGATACCTGGTTCAGAGTGATTGGAAGACATGGGCCAGATCAGCTCAATAACAGTAGGAGGCTGCTAAATATCTGTGCAGCCCATGGGTTTGTAATTACCAAAACACTTTTCCGACATCGGTGCATCCACACAACATCATGGATGCATGCCGGGTCCAAGCAAGAACATCTGCTGGAATATATAGTGACAGACCAGCAGATGCGGGCCCATGTCCTTGACACCAGGACCTACCGTGAAGCTGGTCTGCCCACTGACCATTGGCTAGTCATCTGTAAGATGAGCCTGCCAATCTTCCACTCCGTTGGTTGGTGTCCATTCAGGATCCCATTAAAACCCACAGTGGCCTGGTCTCAGCTAGCTGAGTATAGTTGCAAGCTGGAATTTCAACATCGCTTGCAGCTGGGGTTGCCATCATCCCCTCCTCCTCCTGATGCTGAGGGGAAATGGATGAGGTTCAGGACTGTGGCTCATGCAACTGCAATGGCTGCATTGGGTATGCAGTCCAGACCTCCACAGAGATCCTGGCTGAAGGAGGTGTTCGGAAGATAGACGGTACCAATAGTGCCAAGATCAGCTTCTACTGAGGCTCGTGAAGGACGTTTCTGGTCAATCGAAGGCAATCACCCTCCAACAACGGAGGGCAGAGGAGCAATGCTCACAACAACGAGCAGAGCACCGGCCAGCTAAAATGCAGCGAGTTGGCACAGCAGGGGGCACAGCTGGTACATCTGCCAGTCATCTCAGTCAGTCAACCCATGGCACCTAGGTCTGTCTCGTGACCTATCAGGGATGCCTTCGACACTTCACATGGCCTCAGAGTGCACCTGGCCTTGCACATGCGCAGTAGTGACATCACCTGCCACTTAGTGGTACATAGTACACGGGGGAGTCAGTATGCTTCGGTGCCTTGAATTGCAGACCAAAATCAGAAGTACATCTTCTCTTTGCACGATGAGCCTGTGGATGTATATAGCGTCTGACTAAAAACGGCATCTCAGTGCTTGCTACGTGCGACGGATTATGTGGATGTGCATCAAACGGAGCTCACACGGCTCGTTCTCAAGGAAGCTGCACCCAAAATCCACCAGCTGGATTGATCCTGTGGCGTTGTTCTTCACCATGATGTTTGCCTGGACATGACAAAAAATATTAAAGATAACAAACTAAAAACTATAAACTATTTTTTATTTTACCAGGTAAGGTCCACTGAGAAAAATTGCTCTTTTTTCACAAGTGACCTGGCCACATATGATAGCTCAACAAAGTGGCGTATCATGCTTGGTTCTTTCGGTAAAGTCACGTAGAAGGGAAATAATAAAATAAATTTAACAGAATAAACATTCTCACGACGTTTCGATTGCAACACAAGCAATCATCATCAGGTGTGGAAACTACAGCCATACATTTTTAGCTGAAGTGGGAGAGATGCTGTGGTAAGGGGTTATATAAGTTAGAGAAGGGAGGGGGGAGTAGGGGGAGGATAGCGTTGCGTGGAATGCTACTGGACAGGGAGGAAAGTGGGCGGGGCTAGAAAGGTGCAGAAAACCAATGCCACTGCAGCAAAGCCAATGAAAGACACGAAAGCAACAGTAGCAGACGTTGGAGAAGTGCAAAAAACCGAACACCACTACAGTAAAGCAAATGAAAGACATCAAAGCAACAGTAGCAGTACTGCCAAACGCTGGGGATGCAATTTACTCGGCAGAATAGACTCGTGCTCGGTAAATATGATGGAACAACCATAGACAGTTAACGTTTTACCTGGTTAACAACAGTGGGCTCACATGACATTGACTTCTCCAAGACGGAGGTTCTCTGCAAGCCATCCGGCTACCATGAGAGATTCGTTCATGAGGCCATCCACATATACAAACACAGAGACAATTTCAACCGAGAAGATGGATTTTGGCTCAGCAATCATTGGAAGAACGTGATAAACCATTTCGGATCTTGATTGATTGTGTTCACATTTACGGTGACTTTCAAACCACATTCCATTCCCTGGCATTGACTATATAGCTTTTGTATTCTCTTCACGGATCGGAGTCTTTGCTCCACTGCACGTTTCCTGCTACCATTGACATATTTCTTTGCCATTGACATATTTCTTTGCTTCCTCTTAGTACTTTTCACGCGACGGTCAATGGTATGGTGTATAGCAGATTGTATAATAATAAATAGTATAATAGCGAAATGAGACTAAGGTGCTCTGCAAACCTTCTGGCTACGATCAAAGGTTTGTCCATGAAGCCATCTAAGATACATAAACATAGACGTAAGTTCAACCAAGAAGATGGATACGAATTGAGCAATCATTGGAAGGATGTTATTAACCAGGTAAAATGTTAATTGTCTCTGGTTGTTCCATCATATTTACCGAGCACGAGTCTATTCTGCCGAGTTAATTGCATCCCCAGAGTTTGGCAGTACTGCTACTGTTGCTTTGTTGTCTTTCATTGGCTTTACTGTAGTGGTGTTCGCTTTTTTGCACTTCTCCAACGTCTGCTACTGTTGCTTTCGTGTCTTTCATTGGCTTTGCTGCAGTGGCATTGGTTTTCTGCACCTTTCTAGCCCCGCCCACTTTCCTCCCCGTCCAGTAGCATTCCACGCAACGCTACCCTCCCCCGACTCCCCCCCTCCCTTGCTCCTCTCCCCTCTCTAACTTATATAACCCCTTACCACAGCATCTCTCCCACTGCAGCTAAAATTTTCTTGCTGTAGTTTTCACACCTGATAATTGCTTGTGTTGCAATCGAAACGTCGTGATAATTTTTATGTTTTATTTTTATTATTTCCCTTCTACGTGACTTTACCGAAAGAACCAAGAATATGAATCCCTTTAGTCACGAAAGCTTTAAATCGAAATTTGGCTTATCATTATGTGGATAGTTATAGCAACCAAATACTCAAAACGCGTGATGTTGTTTCTAAATGTGGAGGGAAAACCCAGAGGACCCGGAGAAAAATCCGCGCAACCACGGGGAGAGAGACACCGCAAACTCCAAATATACAGCAGGCATCAGGGTCGGGATCGAACCCACGACCTCCTGTATACCAGGCGAGGTAGTTAACATCTCACCACCACAGCGCCCTTATTGGGGTATGAGCTGTTAGTGAGTAGCAGTAGCGCTTATGAAGGCCGGCACGGCACACGAGGGGGGTGGTGTGGCCAGCATCACGCCCGGTTGGCTGCCTTGGTGTGATGTGATGTGTTTGGCGTGTTCACACACAACACGTTTTCGCTATAATGCGGTTGTTATTCTTCTATGAAGGAACACTTTTCACATGATGCGGAATGCGCCCCGTTATGCCATGGAGCGCGCACCATTTTAACGTGGTGTACTGTGTGGGAATTCTGGGTCCACCCACGGAACAATATAGTACGTGGAACGAAACAGTGCATGGAATGATACAGTGCATGGAAAAATATAAGTATGTGGAACGATACAGTACGCGAAATGATACAATACATGAAGCAATAGGGTACAAAGCATACATCTTCTTGGTTCTTTCGGTAAAGTCACGTAGAAGGAAAATAATAGAATAATAAAAATAAAACATAATAAAATAATTCTCACGACGTTTCGGCCACAACGCAAGCAGCCGTCTTCAGGAGAAGAACAGGTCCGTCGGAAAGACAGCGTCCGAATGAATAAATATACGCTGCCAAGCCTGTTGGTGCTCATTCAGACGCTGTCTTTCCGACAGACCTGCTCTCCACCTGTGGACGGCCGCCCGCGCTGCGGCCGAAACGCCGCGAGAACTGTATTCCACTATGTTCCATCCCCATCATTTCACTATTTCCCTTCTACGTGATGACTTCACCGAAAGAACCAAGAAGACGAACCCCCGCAGTCACGAAAGCCCCAAATCGAAAGGGTCTATCTCGCTGGAATTCGGTTTTCAGCTGGTTCTTTGTTGTTGGCTTGATCTAACTGCCTGTCTGCTCTCAGGGTCCTCCTGACTTTTATACAATTCCCCACCAAGGGGCGGGTTTCTGTGGGATCACACACAACCCACAGCCCCCTCCCCTCAGGAAGAGCCCTGGACAGGGATAACACAACCAGCCCGCACTGGTAAGTAGAGTGATTCACCCGGGTTAGGTGTGAACGCGTTACAACATCACCACCACACTAACTATGACTCTTACTAACTCCTGTAACTATAACTCTCACTAACACCTGTAAGTACAATAACTCTCACTAACTCCGATAACTAGAACTCTTACTAACTCCTGTAACTAACTATAACTCTTACTAACTCCTGTAAGTACAACTCTCACTAACTCCTGTAACTAACTAGAACTCTCACTAACTCCTGTAACTACTATAACTCTCACTAACTCCTGTAACTAACTATGACTCTTAACGCATGTAACTAGAACTCTCACTAACTCCTGTAACTATAACTCTCACTAACTCCTGTAACTACTAGAACTCTCACTAACTCCTGTAACTAACTAGAACTCTTACTAACTCCTGTAACTACTATAACTCTCACTAACTCCTGTAACTAACTATAACTCTAACTTCTGTAACTAACTAGAACTCTCACTAACTCCTGTAACTACTATAACTCTCACTAACTCCTGTAACTACTATAACTCTAACTAACTCCTGTAACTAACTATAACTCTCACTAACTCCTGTAACTACTATAACTCTAACTAACTCCTGTAACTACTATAACTCTCACTAACTCCTGTAACTACTATAACTCTCACTAACTCCTGTAACTACTATAACTCTCACTAACTCCTGTAACTACTATAACTCTCACTAACACCTGTTAGTTACAGGAGTTAGTGAGAGTTATAGTTAGTTACAGGTGTTAGTGAGAGTTATAGTAGTTACAGGAGTTAGTGAGAGTTATAGTAGTTACAGGAGTTAGTGAGAGTTCTAGTTAGTTACAGGAGTTAGTGAGAGTTCTAGTTAGTTACATGAGTTAGTAAGAGTCATAGTTACAGGAGTTAGTAAGGGTTAGTAAGGGTTATAGTTAGTTACAGGAGTTAGTAAGAGTTGTACTTACAGGAGTTAGTAAGAGTTATAGTTAGTTACAGGAGTTAGTAGGAGTTCTAGTTATAGGAGTTAGTGAGAGTTATTGTACTTACAGGTGTTAGTGAGAGTTATAATTACAGGAGTTAGTAAGAGTCATAGTTAGTGTGGTGGTGATGTTGGAACGCGTTTACACCGAACCCGGGTGAATCACTCTACTTACCAGTGCGGGCTGGTTGTGTTATCCCTGTCCAGGGCTCCTCCTGAGGGGAGGGGGCTGTGGGCTGTGTGTGATCCCACAGAAACCCACCCCTCGGTGGGAAATTGTATAAAAGTCAGGAGGACCCTGAGAGCAGACAGGCAGTTAGATCAAGCCAAAAACGAAGAACCAGCTGAAAACCGAAGTCCAGCGAGATAGACCCTTTCGATTTGGGACTTTCGTGTCTGCGGGGGTTCGTCTTCTTGGTTTTTTCGGTGAAGTCATCACGTAGAAGGGAAATAGTGAAATGATGGGGATGGAACATAGTGGAATACAGTTCTCGCGGCGTTTCGGCCGCAGCGCGGGCGGCCGTCCTCAGGTGGAGAGCAGGTCTGTTGGAAAGACAGCGTCTGAATGAGCACCACCAGGCTTGGCAGCATATATTTATACATTCGGACGCTGTCTTTCCGACGGACCTGTTCTTCACCTGAGGACGGCTGCTTGCGTTGTGGCCGAAACGTCGTGAGAATTATTTTATTATGTTTTATTTTTATTATTCTATTATTTTCCTTCTACGTGACTTTACCGAAAGAACCAAGAAGATGAATCCCTGCAGTCACGAAAGCTTTAAATCGAAATACAAAGGATACAGTATGCAGAATGATACAGCGCGTAATGATACGGTACACGGAACAATGCGTACACGGCAGCGTACCCTCATCTCGGTTTCTGGACAGCCTATATGCCCTCCCCCCTGCCCAACCAATAATAACTCCACCGCTCGTCCTTCCAACCTCCCGCCTTTATTACATTTCACACAACTTCTACCTCGCGCCGCGTTAACCGAAGGGATCACTCCTGCACTGTGTAACGGTGAGCACTTACCGGCTTGATATCTCCATGAACAACCTTCTTCTTCTTGAGGAAAGACAGGACCTCTAGCATGGACCGTGCGTAGAGTTTAACTCGGCCCATCTCAAAGGCGCCATCCTCCTTCATGAGATCACAAAGACTCCCCCCCCTGCAGAGAACAAACAACAAAAGCTGCCATTTGCCACTTCTACTTTTCGTATGGCTGCTGATGTAGATGCAGAGCAACAACTACAATTTAACATTGAGGTGGCCAAACCAAGACAACCGCATCAAAAGCAGCAGAGAGTATCATCGCTGTGATGTCTCCTTCGTATTTGTGGATCGGGGCATTGCGTCGTTACACGTTATACTGCAGTCTGTTCTGGATGACCAGAGTCACACACTACTGGACGGTTTTTTAAGTTTCCATTTGTGCATCAAGTACCCGCATCTACTGCCGTAGTTTGTGCAGTGTATGCAGTTTAGGGTGAACCATGAGCTTCGTGGAAGATAAATACAGAGATCTTCTGCGTTGGGTCTTTCACAACAAGGCGGTGTTTGTGAGTTCTCCATTTAGCTCTCCATGCTTCATTCGGGTTGAATTTGCATTGTTATATTAACGTTACGTTATATTAACGTGATGTCACCAAGGTGCATGTGCCAGGCTAGGTGCACCTGGAGTCTGCCTGAAGTGTTCAAGGCTCGCTGGCAGATCACGGTACAGACCCAGGTGCGATGAGTTGGCTCCTGTGCCAGGCTAGGTGCAGGTCACAGACATACCCAGTTGCCATGAATTGACTGACCGAAATGACTGGCAGATGCACTATCTGTGCTCGAGGCCGACGAAAACTGAATTTCTGGTTTCGGCCGAAACCGAAACCAGACAGAAAGTGAAAAATTGACTTTCGGCCGAAACCGAAGCCGAAAGTTTAACTTCATTTTCGACCAAAACCGAAAGTTTAACTACACTTTCGGCCGAAAGCTAAGCCGAAACCGAAAGTTTAACTACACTTTCGACCAAGACCGAAACAGAAAGGTATATAACTGAAGTTACCGAACACAAGATTTATGAAATACTAGCTTTACTACCCGGCTTCGCCCGGGACTTGGATTCACCACGGCCAGCCACCTTTGTCTCCCCAGTGGCGATGTTGACACACCACACCACTTACTCATTTGAGGCTGAGTCGACCTAGGGGAGGCCCAGTACCGGTTCAAATAATCGTCACCGGCCGTGAGCGGGAATCGAACTCGGGCCGCCGGGTTCGTAGCGCAGCACGCGAATCGCTACGCAGTCGCTGCCCCGCCCCCCACACACACAGGGTAAAGACAAAGATCCCCCGTGTAGCCTGTGAGACTGTAGGGGGCAAGTGCTGTTCGCGTGCACCTATGAAGGCCGGCACGGCATGGCACACGAGGGGGTGGGTGGCCAGCAACACGGCCGGCCGCCTTTGTCTCCCCAGTGGCGATGTTGACACACCAGACCACTTACTCATTTCAGACTGAGTCGACCTAGGGGAGGCCCAGGACCGGTTTAAATAATCGTCACCGGCCGTGAGCGGGAATCGAACTCGGGCAGCCGGGTTCGTAGTGCAGTGCGCGAATCGCTACGCAGTCGCTGCCTGCCCCCCCCCCCCCCAGGTGCGTAACGTCATTTATTGACGGCCCCAGACAATGGTTGCGGCTGTACCTCGCTCGCAAGCTGCTGCTGCTGACGTGTGTGTGTGTGTATGTGTAACGGGTTCCGGAGACACTTGTAGAGGTAACTTCTTTATTACAATCCAACACTCCAACAGTCCAACAATCCAACAACTCTGTTACAGCCTAGGCACACAGCCTAGATACACTACTCTGGCTACGCTCTGGAACTCGCCCTCACAAGGACGTAGAGCCGGGAGTTCCAGAGTCCCACCACTGGCCCTCACAGCGTCCCAGGGTCCTCACATGGCTAGTCTTGGGTCTTGGGTCTTGAGCTACAACTGGCCCTGATCGTCCAGGGAGCTCCCCTTTTATGCCTAGTCCCCAACGAGGGGTGGGGCCGTGTGCGCCCCCAGATATCCCACAGAGCACACACAGCCATCCCCCGTTGGTGGCGCCAAGGGGCTTAAGCGCCTGGGCCGCCCGGGAACCCAACGCCTGGCGCCAAGGGGCTTAAGCGTCTGGGCCGCCTGGGAACCAAGCGCCCGGCGCCAAGGGGCCCAAGCGCCTGGGCCGCCCAGGGTCCCAGAGCCCCCCCAGCAGCCCCTCCCCTCCCATGTCACTACATTACCCTTCTCTATGTAGCCTCCAGCCGTCCCGACTGTTAATAATTAGAAAGTTTAAATTAACGAAAGGGAGAGAAAAAAATACGCGAGCCTCAACAGGAAAGGAAAAGAGAACAAGAAAGCAACCATAAATACCCTAACCAACCTGTACACGTTACACTATATACAAGCGTCAATCAACAAAAAGGTGAAGCAATGACACGTGAACAAACGACCCGCGGCACACCTAGCCCTCCTCGGGATCCGCATAGAAAATGGAGAATTAACAACAACAAATATACAGATTCCAACGCGTTGGATGCACAACCAACACCGGTAATCGAACCGAAATCACACAACCACCGCATGGATGGCAGGGATCCACACCACCCTGCCACCCTCCCATCCGTCAGGTGGTGAGAAGGCGAAGACCAACATGTCTAGCACCCCTCTACACACACTTATCCGGATGTCTGTCTACGTCCCAGGTCGAGAAGTCGTACTTCAGGGCCGACCCATGTACTGGGCAAAGAAGTCGCACTTCAGGGCTGCTCCAGTATCTACATTTTAAAATATATATATATATAAATTTGACATGACACAAACAAAATAAATCTGCTTGCTCCTGCCCAGAAATGGCGGACGCACGCGCGAACCGCATCTCCAAGGCATCCCATGCTTGCGTCCCAGCAGCCCTCACCGAGGACCACCACCGACATTACATGTCACTCGCTAGCACCCCCCGCCTTTCCGACGTGGCGTCTCCATCCTAAAACCGCGCACGTCGGCCATATCGGGGGGGAATTTCCATGTTACCACCCCACCGCCTTTCCGACGCGGCGTCACAACCAGTAGCACGCGTCGGCCACATCGGGGGGGGACTTCAACCCATTCTCTCTCCAAGACTCGCATCGCAGAATATAGCTGTACCGACCGAGCTGAGACCCAGTCTCTCTCCAAGACTCGCATCGCATCATATAGCTGTACCGACCGAGCTGAGACGACCCATCGTTCACTCACTGCACAACATGCACCCTAACAACTGAGGGATACAGTCCCAACGTAACGGGACAACTACACCTGAACACTACGAATCTCCAGCCCACTGTTTCAACGCGCCTCGGAGTGTTTCAATCTCCGGGCCGTCAGGGCGAGCCTACAGCTCCAGACGCACCACGGAGGGTCTCAACCTCCGGGCCGTCAGGTTAAGCCGTCAGCCATTGCATGACGGGACCACACTCTCTGAGCCATGTGAGCACACAGCCCACTAGGCTAGACATGCCACGGAGTGTTTCAATCTCCGGGCTGTCAGGTCAAGCCGTCAGCCATAGCATGACGGGACCACAACTCTCGTGTTAGACACGCAACACCCACTGGGCCATCCTGGTCAGGATCTGCACCCCAAGATATTTGAGAGCCAGCACGACAATTCCAAATCCTTGGCAGCATGTCACCATCTCAAGATAAATGCCCCATACAGTCTATACATCGTTAACAATGACAGCACAAGCTATACATTAACAATCACGAACAAAGCTCAATACAAACCATACATTGTTAACAATCACAAGCAAAGTTTCGCACACACATTGACAACACTCACGAGCGAAGCTCCACACAGTTTACCCAACAACAATCACGACTCCCCGACGACAACGAAGAAAATGTCAACAAAAATCATTAATCTGGAGCGCGTAAATGGACGAAGTGTCAGGGGCCTGGTCTCCCGACCTCCAACCTTTGGCCAGAGCAAAGGCGACGACCAGCGTGTCGATCGATGTGCCGGCCCCGGCGCTGGTTACAGTAAGAATGGAGCCCTCACTGTCCGGTCGCAGCGCTGATGACGCGGTATGCTAGGTTGAAGCCAGCTGTCGTCCGGCGGTGAAGGTCGCAGCGCTGATCATGCGGCGTTGTTTGGTTGGACCACGCTGGGCCCGGAAGTGACGTTGCTCCCAGCGGTCATTGCTCCCCCGGCGGAAGTGATGACACACCCGAAAGTATCCCCCACATTTGTGGCGGGAATGCCGGTGGCGGGAATGGCGGTCGCGGGCTCGAGCGAGTGCTGCGCCTCTTCTCTCCCTCCCGCCATCGCCTGTGAGCGCCGCATCTCGCCCAGGAGAGAGGCGGTGGCGCAGAGCAGCTCTGCGAGGTGAAGCAGCGCCTCCTCCATCCCTGCACCCGACGCTGGAGAGGGGAAGGTCGACGGAGCAGACAGCTGCTCAGCCGGCGATGCGGCGTCGCCGTCGGCCGGCGGTGCAGCGTCGCTGTCGGCCAGCGGTGCGGCATCGTTGTCGGCCGACGGTGCAGCGTTGTTGTCGGCCGGTGGTGCGGCGTCATTGTCGGCCGGCGTTGGCCGCCTCAACGCTGCTTGCTCCTCGACATCGCCGTCAGGACTGAAGGTACGTGGCTTACTTCTTGTCTCCATCCCACTTCTGACACCAAATGTAACGGGTTCCGGAGACACTTGTAGAGGTAACTTCTTTATTACAATCCAACACGCCAACAGTCCAACAGTCCAACTACTCTGTTACAGCCTAGGTACACAGCCTAGGTACACAGCCTAGATACACTACTCTGGCTACGCTCTGGAACTCGCCTTCACAAGGACGTAGAGCCGGGAGTTCCAGAGTCCCACCACTGGCCCTCACAGCGTCCCAGGGTCCTCACATGGCTGGTCTTGGGTCTTGGGTCTTGAGCTACGACTGGCCCTGATCGTCCAGGGAGCTCCCCTTTTATGCCTAATCCCCAACGAGGGGTGGGGCCGTGTGCGCCCCCAGATATCCCACAGAGCACACACAGCCCCCCCTCCGTTGGTGGCCCCAAGGGGCTTAAGCGCCTGGGCCGCCCGGGAACCCAGCGCCCGGTGCCAAGGGGCCCAAGTGCATGAGCTGCCCAGGGTCCCAGAGCCCCCCCAGCAGCCCCTCCCCTCCCATGTCACTACATATGCAGCCTATCGCATAGGATTTCCTAGCACTAGCGTTATATTCTAAAAATAGATCTTCGGCTGACGACTGAAATCACTATTGATTCACTTATATATTGCAATCACTATTGATTCACTTATATAAGTTGAAAATTAAGTAAAAATCACCGAGTCTGCCAAAACAAAGCCAGTCGAGGTCTAAACGTTCACAAATGGGCATCGCTGATTGGCTGAGGCAGCATGTGCTCAGGCCCACTGACGAACGCTCGTATTGGCCGAAATTTGCGACCTGCGTGCACAACATTAACACCGTTACATACAAATGTTAACGTCAGTCGAAACCATGGGTTCACTATGGGAGGTGAAACGTTAACCGCAAAAACTGTTAAACGATGTCACGGCAAACCGAGGAACTACTGTATTTGTTTAATTCGTAATGTTAATATTATCTACGATCAATATTAATATCTATTTTCCTCCATCTTCCTTTTCAGATGATGTCTACAAAATTCCACCAAAAACCATGAATTAACACATTACATAATTTATGGATGTTCAAATATGGTGGAGGTAGTGGTGATGGTAGTCGTGGTGGAAATGGTGGCGGAGCTGGTGATGATGGTGGTTGTGATGATGATGGTGTAGATGGTAGTGGTGATGATGGTGCTGGGGGTAATGCTGGTGGTTGTGGAGGAATTTATGATGGTCCTGGTGATGATGGTAGTGGTAATGGTGGTGGTGGAACCCTCACTTGATGAGCTCGAGCACCAGGTACATGTTCCCTTGGTTGACGAAGTTGTCCAAGATCCTGACGATGTTGGTGCTCTTGTTCAGAGCCCGGAGGAAGCCAGCCTCGCGGTACCAATCCTGGCCCAAGCTGCATGTGAAGATTTGACCACAGATCGTCAGCAACATCTCATCATCGTAAACTCCTCCACACTTCCTCCAATGCAATCATCATCGTAGTCCAAGCATCAGGATTCTAAGTCCGGTTTCTGCAGTGTGTAGGGTGTTCATATTGCAGCTTGTAGGGTGTTTATGGTGCAGCTTGTAGGATGTTCAAGGTGCAACCTTTTAGGGTGTTCATAGTGCAGTGTGTAGGGTGTCCATGGTGCATCATTTAAGGGTGTTCACGGTGTTGCATGTAGGGTGTTCGTGAGGCAGTGTGTAGGGTGTTCATGGTGCAGTAAATAGGGTGTTCATGGTGCAGTGTGTTGGGTGTTTATGGTTGAATGTATTTTATCTCATATATTTTGTACTACTGTATACCTCATGGGACCTCCTTTGCCAGTACCAAAATATGAGAATAAATTTGCCCCTTTTTTCTGGCAACAAAACAGGTGTTGAGATGTTAAAACACCAAGCTGAAACCTTTTACAAGGAATCATGTCTGCATTACCCACAATACTTGTGGTCAGAATGCAAAAAAAAAAACACTGATAATATATGCATTGTCTTTGAAACTGATTGGTCTACTCCAGAGACAGCTTTCTTTTGAGGCGAGTCTCAAAATTATGTTAGACCAGAGGAAGCCAAAAGGCGTACAGCACAAAGACAACGCACTATCAGAGTAATGAGAGCTCAGGGTGAGCAGCTACATCATGGGAACTCCTTTGCCAGTGAAATGGTTCGATAGAGGCGCATACACTGAGCTGGGAAGGCAACACTATTTATTTCTGAACACAACAGTAACACTTTAACATTACACATAGGATGGTGACTACCGACCTATCCTCTCTACACTCGCTCACTCTGACTCTCTAGTAATACTGGTGTGGCCAAGCCAGGAGGGCTACTGCTTGGCCACACTGACTGGAGGCTTGACTTCACTCTTCATGAGGTGTCTTCATGAGGCGTCTTTATCCCGAACTCAAGCAGCCCCGCACGAGGTGCGGAGCCCGCTTATATGCCTCTCGGCGTGGCCAGGCCACGCCCTGGCCACGCCCCCCTTCGAGAACCTTCGATAAGGCTCTGCCTCTAGCCTCATGGCCCCCAAGGTCCCCCTGGGGCCCCCGGCCCCCACCTTGATCCAGTCACGTGTCCGGTCGGGTTCATCTAGTGCCACGGCCTCACAAAACCCCCGTGGCACTGACCAACGGCCTTCCGGCCCCCCGACCTGGCCGTGACATCATTCCCGCCTCTGCACATAGTGACGTCATGTATGTGTGTGTGTAGGCCCAGGGGGTAGTGACATTCCCCGCACATAGTGACGTCATGCGTGTGCGTGTGTAGAGCCACACAGTAGTGACGTTACAAGTCACTACACCAGTACCAAAATATGAGAATAAGTTTTCCCCTTTTTTCTGGTGTTGAGATGTTAAAACACCAAACTGAAACCTTTTACAAGAAATCATATCTGCATTAACCACAATACTTGTGGTCAGAATGCAAAAAAAAACACTGATAATATATGCATTCCATTGGTACCTCATTTGCCAGTAAAAAATATCATAATTGGTTTTTACCCTTTTATCTGGCAACAAAACTGACACCTTTTTTTACGAGGATTCATGTTTGCATAGACCACAATACCTGCAGTCATAATGCAAACAAAAAACATAACTCTGATAATGTATGCACTGTTCTTGAAGTTGATTGGTCCACACCCGAGACAGCTTTCCTTAGAGCCTAGTCTCACATGGGTTGGACCAGATGACGCCAAAGGGCGCACAACTCAAAGACAATGCACCAGATAAAAGGGTAAAAAAACAATTATCATATTTTTTACTGGCAAATGAGGTACCAATGGTGTAAATACTTTCCCCGAGCTCTCATACTCTGATGGTGCATTGTCTTTGAGTTGTGCGCCTTTTGGCGTCATCTGGTCCAACCCATGTGAGAGTCGGCTCTAAGGAAAGCTGTCTCGGGTGTGGACCAATCAACTTCAAGGACAGTACATACATTATCAGAGTTATGTTTTTTGTTTGCATTATGACTGCAGGTATTGTGGTCTATGCAAACATGACTCCTCGTAAAAAGGTGTCAGTTTTGTTGCCATATAAAAGGGTAAAAAAACAATTATAATATATGCATTGTCTTTGAAACTGATTGGTCCACACCAGAGACCAGAAAAAAGGGGAAAACTTATTCTCATATTTTGGTACTGGCAAAGGAGGTCCCATTATGTAGCTGCTCACCTTGAGCTCTCATTACTCTGATAGTGTGTTGTCTTTGTGCTGTATGCCTTTTGGCATCCTCTGGTCTAACACCGTTTTGAGACTCGGCTCAAAAGAAAGCTGTCTCTGGTGTGGACCAATCAGTTTCAAAGACAATGCATACATTATCAGTGTTTTTTGTTTGCATTCTGACCACAAGTATTGTGGTTAATGCAGATATGATTCCTTGTAAAAGGTTTCAGTTTGGTGTTTTAACATTTCAACACCTGTTTTGTTGCCAGAAAAAAGTGGAAAACTTATTCTCATACTGTATACCTATGACGATTTTGCACATCTCAAATTTTAATGATGCAATGTTTTACGTTCACATGTTGAAGCAAGCACTCTCTGTGACGCTGTTGTATTGTGAACGGTGCTACGTTAATCAATATAAGTTTGAGTGATTGAATGAGCAGCAGAAGCATCGTGCAGAGCTTCCACCGAACGGGTCGAGGCGCTGCGGAACCTTCAGCCAAAGCACAACGCGGAGGCTCAAACGCTGATCCCACTCTTATACCTGTCAACCGCTTATCAGTGCCTACCTTATTAGAGACCAATTCAGATCTTATTGGTCACCCCGTGCCCTTATAAATCTCAACGTTCATCCTACAACATCCCATCACAAGGGAGAAACACAAAGACAAAAACAATGCTTTCCCCTGGTGAAACGGCTGTACACCAAATGGACCTGAAAACTCAATTTCCCTGTGCAAGAATATGGGTAAACCTTCTGGGTTGACATGGTATGCACTCTCCGTGACCTGCACTGGAAGTTTTCATTACACGTTACATACACACTGGGCCCACTCTAGCTTATAGGGCTTTGTGTGGTCTTGGGGACTGGACATCTGTGAAGAAGAGCTTTATAGCTCATCGGCTTCCTCCAATATGCATATTCTGATTGCAGTCAAGGCCGGATTCACCCATAGGTTAATCAGGAATGAGGCCCTTATTTTATAGTCCCTCCATAAGCCCATATAACCTACTAAAATGCAGTGACCCAAGGTGATTTGTTCAATTAAATAAAGCACTCCTACGCGTCCTGACTTTTGGGGCACCCTGGCGAGATGTTAACTACCTCGCCTGGTATACAGGTCGTGGGTTCGATCCCGCCTCTGACGCCTGCTGTATATTTGTCATTTAGGTGTCACTCTCTCTCTCCCCGTGGTGGATTTGTCTCCGGGTCTCTTCCGGTTTTACCCCTCCACATTTAGAATCAAGTCACGCGCTTAAGAGTATTGGGCTGCTGCTTGAAATTTCCACACGACGATAAGCTACTTCGTTGAGCTATCATTTGTGACAGCCAGGTCGCTTCTGAAAAAAATACCTAAATAGCTCAGTGTGGCCTGACCTGGTAAAAACAAAATTTGGTTAAAACAGTTTAATTGTATTTTAATAATAACATTTGTTTAATTGTAAAAAGAGGTTCATATTGGACGGCAATTAAAAGTATGTTTTGCCGTTCCAAGTTTTAATCGGACTGCTTTCCCTCTACCTCTCGATGTCGCGCGTAACCTTCACGGCCACCTTCCTCTTCTGCCTGCGATCCAGGCAGGTGTAGACCGCGCCGTAGCCTCCAGCGCCCAGCTTGGACAGCACCCGGTAACGGCGCTTGATCACGGAACCCTCCATCTGTTGGGGACGACAACAGCGCAGGGTCGAGGGAGGCCAGGGGGTTGGACTGGACTGTACGAACTTCGTTCGCGCCGTACGTAGCCAACCGTCCTCATCGGAGGTGCGGGGTTAACGGTCAATGACGGTCTACCCGCGACCACCTCCTCGTGACCTCTCCCACCTCTTCACATAACTGTCACCAATAACGATGTGGGTGCTGTTGTTACACCAACGACAAAGATCCCCTGCGTAGCCTTAACAGACAGAATAGAGCAAGTGCTATTAGCGAGCAGCCCCTATGAAGGCCGTCACTGTGGCACACGAAGGGGTGGGTGGCCAACACCACGCCCGGCTGCCTTTTTATCCCCAGTGTGCGATGTTTACACACCGCACAAGGTACTCATTTGAGGCTGAGTCGACCTAGGGGAGGCCCAGGAGCGGTTTATCACCGGTGTTGGCCGTGAGTGGGAACCGAACTCAGGTAAGCGGGTTCTTTGTGCAGCGTAGCGCTAACCACTACACTACCGCCGCCACCGCAGCACCACAACAAGCTGTCGTAACGTTAATAACAGACTCGACTCTGAGTGGGACTTTATAATATGTATACTTTCTATCCCTTTCTGGATCGCCCATTTGCACTCAACGTCATTCACCCACTCGATTCGCAAATTACAAGTTACAATATTCGGTCATTCACACCCCGCTTCGCAACCATCTACACACAGCGATCCTGATCATGCAATACGCATTAGCCCATCCTACTGCTCGACCCTAACCCCCACACCTAACTACCCCTACCCCCAACCACTACCCCAACTCCTATCACTACTACTACCCTATCACACGTGTAGGTAGAACGTCAATAGTAAAGCCTTCTTCACGATACATCCCCTTGCCTGCGCATGGTAAAACCGAAGTCAACCGTATAAAGTGAGATATTAAGTAGACACTGGACGCGAGTGGGAGCGTTGTGGCGGTTGTTGTTGTTGGTCACGTGCCGGGAGCTGGCGGCGCGTGCGCGGTGACTGTTGCTATGCGCGTTGCTATGGGTGGGGCCGAGGGTTGGCGGGTCACACAGAGATGGGTTTGTGAAACTCGTCGAGGAGGAGCCGTAGCCCTGGCTCGGCCGAGGAGGAGGCGGCGGTAGAGCGGAGTGTCTGGACTCGTCTCCGCCATGTCCCACGCGTGTGTGCGCCCGCGTGTGTCGCCGTGTGAGTCTTGGGGAATCTGTGAGTCTGTGGGTCTCTTTGTGAAACTGTGGGTCACTCTGGTTCGGTGTGAGTCTGTGGGTCACTGTGGGAGCCTGTGGATTACTTTGGGAGTATGTGTGAGTCTGTGAGTCACTGTGCGAGTCTGTGGGTCTCTGTGGGATTAGTCTATGTGTGGCTATGAGTCTGAGGGAGTCTCTGTGTGTTCTCCGAGTCTGTGGAGGAAGTCGCTGTTGGGGCCGAAACGCAAATCACCACCGCCTCGTGTGACAGAACCATAGAGACGAAAACTTCACAAAACTTGAATTTACAAAGAAACCGCGCAACATATCAACCAATGCAGTGTAACAATTACAACAGCAATTCGCGTCTGTGATCATCGCAGATCCCAATTTTGAAAATAAAATTTAGCAAACATTTTCCCAGTGCGTGTGCGATACTAACACGATGGTACTCACACGGATGTCTAGCAGTGGATTGAGCATGGACGGATGCTCATTTACAACGTTGGCCATAGGCAGGGAGTCGAACTCTTCATAAAATTGGTAGCGTGATTGTCGTGGTGATGATTGTGGTGGTGTTGTTCATGCTTATCGTGGTGATGATTGTGGTGGTGTTGTTCGTGATGATGGTGTTGGTAATGATGGTCTTGTGGTGATGATGCCGATGATGCTCGTGTTAGTGGTGATGATGGTGTTGGTAGTGATGATGCTGGTGTTGGTGGTGATGATGGTGTTGGTAGTGATGATTATGGAGGTGTTGGTGGTGATGATGCTGGTGTTGGTGCTAGTTGTTGATGGTGGTGATGATGCTGGTGTTGCTGGTGTTAGTGGTGATATTGGTGCTGATAATAGTAGTGTTGTTGGTGTTGGTGATGATCATCGTAGAGGTGGTGGTGATGATTATTGTGATGGTGCGTGTGATTATGGTAGAGGTAGTGTTGGTGTTGGGGGTCACAGCTGGTGCATCTGCCAGTTATCTCAGTCAACGCATGGCACGTGGGCCTGTCCCGTAACCTGTCAGCGAGCCTTCAACACCCCACGTCGCCTCAAGTTTAAGTTAATTTATTAGGTATAGCCCTAAATTTCGATTTAAAGCTTTCGTGACTGCAGGGATTTATCTTCTTGGTTCTTTCGGTAAGTCACTCTGTCTTCTCGACAGACCTGTTCTCCACCTGAGGACGGCTGCTTGCGTTGTGGCCGAAACGTCGTGATAATTATTTTATTGGTTTATTTTTATTATTTTATTATTTCCATTCTACGTGACTTTACCAAAACACCTCAGCCGTGGCAGATCACTGTTACAATTCAGTGGGCTCACATGATATTGACTTCTCCAAGACAGAGGTTCTCTGCAAGCCATCTGGCTACCATGAGAGATTCGTTCATGAGGCGATCCACATATACAAACACAGAGACAATTTCAACCGAGAAGATGGATTCTGGCTCAGCAATCATTGGAAGGACGTAATAAACCATTTCGGATCTTAACTGATTGTGTTCACGTTTACGGTGACTTTCAGACCGCGTTCCACTCACTGGCATTGACTATATATCTTGTATTCTCCGCAGGGAATGGATTCTTTGCTCCGCTGCAAGTCTCCCCGCACTACTCTCCCATTGACATATTTCGTTACTTCCTCTTAGTATCTTTCACACGACGGTCAATGGTACATTGTATAGCGGATTGTATAATAATAAATAGTATAAAATTGTAATGCTTAATACAATGTACAAAGTAATATATAGTATTGTAATTGTATAGTGAATATACAGCTGTGTGATATACATTAGGGTGGGTAGAATCATACATAGTGTAATATTACAATGTATAAGGTGGTGTATAGCAATACAGTATATAATTTAATATTGGGTTTGTCTATGGCAGTATATAGTACGGTGTAGACTCGTGTGATGTAAGAGAATAAAGTTTAGCTGGAAGCATATTATATTTTTTGCGACATAGAATTGTAATGTATTACTTACTGTTAGTAGCTCAGCTTATTGGAGAGTATATTTAGTATACTGATGATACTATGTAGTTTATACTTTAGTTGTTTACGTGGTGGTTTAGTTACTGCAGCTACATACTATTAACATTCCTTCCCTTTATTAATGTTACCCCTATCCCCTCCCTTTGATGCTGCTAATCCTGCATAATGCACGGGCATAATGACTTTAAAGTTTAAACCCCTCGCCAAACCTACGCATTTCACAAGTAGTACTAATCGCATATCTGCATTTCCCATAAATATGCTAAATTCCTCTTGATATGCAAATTATTTTGTCAAGACGCTCTTCGCCCCTCCATCCCGGCTTAAATAGTCGCTCCAAGCCTGGGGCGTGTCATTCAGACTCTGTTTTCTCAACAGACCTGTTCTACACCTGAGGGCGGTTGCTTGCGTTGTGGCCGAAACGTCGTGAGAATTATTTTTTTATTTTTATTATTTCCATTCTACGTGACTTTACCGAAAGAACCAAGAAGATGAATTCCTGCAGTCACGAAAGCTTTAAATCGAAATTTTACCGAAAGAACCAAGAAGAGGTATAGCCCTGTGAGCCATTCGGCTCTTGAATCGGGTGCAACCGCAACGTCACCGCCACTTAGTGGCGAATATTGTTGTTGGTGATGATGATGGTGGTCATAATGGTAAATGAGTGGTGGTGATGATATTGGCGATTGTGTTCAAGGAGTAAGACGTCTTGGGGATTATCCCTGCCAAACCTGCTGACCAAAGCATTTCCCTCCACCCCCATTTGACTAACGTGTCACTTGTCTCCCCCTATACCGAACCCGTGTCCCATCATCCTACATGGAACCCACGTCTCATCCCATACAGATCTTAGATCTTCATCTTGTCACCATCTTCATCTTGTCACCATCACCATGTCACCTTCACGATGCCTTGCCCAGACACGAGGGGGGAGGGAGGAGTTGGGGGAGGGCCCAACCCACGCGCAGCCCATGGCGCATTCTGATTGGCTGGGATGAAGGGGGCGTGCGGATGGTTCCGCGTGTTGGTGTCGTAATGCGGAAGTTGTTTGCACCGCGCACTTCAAGTGCCGTGAGTCCTCGCTTAGCGCGCCGCTTTCACAACAGCAGCAGCAGTCCAGTCCCAGCAGCAGCATTCCCAGCAGCAGCAGCATTCCCAGCAACAGCATTCCCAGCAGAAGCAGCAGCAGCATTCCCAGCAGCAGCATTCCCAGCAGCAGCATTCCCAGCAGCAGCAGCATTCCCAGCAGCAGCAGCATTCCCAGCAGCAGCAGCATTCCCAGCAGCAGCAGCAGCATTCCCAGCAGCAGCAGCATTCCCAGCAGCAGCAGCAGCATTCCCAGCAGCAGCAGCAGCAGCATTCCCAGCAGCAGCATCAGCATTCCCAACAGCAGCATCAGCATTCCCAGCAGCAGCATTCCCAGCAGCAGCAGCATTCCCAGCAGCAGCAGCATTCCCAGCAGCATCAGCATTCCCAACAGCAGCATCAGCATTCCCAGCAGCAGCAGCATTCCCAGCAGCAGCAGCATTCCCAGCAGCAGCATTCCCAGCAGCAGCAGCATTCCCAGCAGCAGCAGCATTCCCAGCAGCAGCATTCCCAGCAGCAGCAGCATTCCCAGCAGCAGCATTCCCAGCAGCAGCAGCAGCATTCCCAGCAGCAGCAGCAGCAGCATTCCCAGCAGCAGCAGCATTCCCAGCAGCAGCAGCAGCAGCATTCCCAGCAGCAGCATTCCCAGCAGCAGCAGCATTCCCAGCAGCAGCAGAATTCCGGCAGCAGCAGCCTTCCCAGCAGCAGCAGCATTCCCAGCAGCAGCAGCATTCCCAGCAGCAGCAGCATTCCCAGCAGCAGCAGCATTCCCAGCAGCAGCAGCAGCATTCCCAGCAGCAGCAGCAGCATTCCCAGCAGCAGCAGCATTCCCAGCAGCAGCAGCAGCAGCATTCCCAGCAGCAGCAGCATTCCCAGCAGCAGCAGCAGCATTCCCAGCAGCAGCAGCATTCCCAGCAGCAGCAGCATTCCCAGCAGCAGCATTCCCAGCAGCAGCAGCATTCCCAGCAGCAGCAGCATTCCCAGCAGCAGCAGCAGCATTCCCAGCAGCAGCAGCAGCATTCCCAGCAGCAGCAGCATTCCCAGCAGCAGCAGCATTCCCAGCAGCAGCAGCAGCAGCATTCCCAGCAGCAGCAGCATTCCCAGCAGCAGCAGCATTCCCAGCAGCAGCAGCAGTCCCAGCAGCAGCGGTGCCTTGCCGCTGCTCTTCCTTCATTCGGGAACACTTTTGGCACAACTCAGAACGCGCCCCGTGATGAAGGCGGCACGCGCCCGTTTGTTACAACGCCGCTCCCGAGCGGTCGACGACGAACTACTTCCTTGAGCTGCGCGCCTGAGCGGAGTGATACGCGGATAGATGCAGTAACGCGGCGGCGCCGGCTAACAGCGGCGTGTGCGTAGTACAGTCCACCTGGCCGCACTGTATCGGCAGTAAAGTATTCATAGCGACGTTGTTAGGCGCTCAGCGCG